GATTCTTGTCAACCAGGCCTCCGATGATGTAAGTTCCGTACGGCTTGAGCTCTTCAAGTATAACATCGCTCTCGCTAGATAGATATACAACTTCGCCATTAGGTTCAGTATTATTGTCTATCGGTTGCGAACCATTTCTCTCTTCAAGGATTCCAGTGAGCCTTCCACCGCCTTCCTTGCTCATCCATTCTTTGGCCTTCTCTGCCACTTCAACAAAGTCCTCAGTAAAGAACCTGATGCCTTTCCATGACTCGTAATGTTTTGCAAGGACATTATCGAATCTCTCTTTCAGTTTTCCACCAAACGAAGCCACTGCTAGATGAGCTCTCAAATACGCATTTCTGTTATCCGAGTAGCATCTAGTAAGCTGGGCTGCCAATGACTTCATCTCGTTTTCCCTCATGAGGTCATCAAAGTCGCAATCAAATATAATGCTTATAGGGAGCTGGATTGCAGGAATGGTTCTGGTCTTTTTCGGTTTCTGATCAGGATTCTGTTGATCGATGGGAATCTCATCGTTCTCTAGGGAGAGGTTCTCTTGATATTCCGCTTTTTTACGTTCTTTCCCGGCTTTTATCTTTTCTTTACGCCTGGCTTTGCGGTCTTCTCGACCTGCTTCCCATTCTTGCTGACGCCTGATCTTCTTTAATCGGCTCTTTGAGAGAGGAACTGATGGATCAGGCGCGCTAGCAGCGGGTGAATTTACCTGAAGTTTTGGCTCTGGTTGGCCGGTTTGCCGGTGCCCACCGTTTCTGGCGGTGTTGTCCCCAAGTTGCGATTTCGACGACTGGTATTCCATGGCTTCATGGTCGTTGGTGTTTGCTGGATCACAATTGACCACCGTATGACCAGACAGAAATTCTGCCTCAGGGAATTCCACACTATGTTCAACTTTTTGAATTTTGGCAGGCCGTTCTTCTGCCTCCATATTAATCGATCTGGTGGGGGGAAGAGTTTCAGAGAATTTAGTGGCATGTAAAATAACTGCCGCTACTGACCGCCGCTTCTTTTGGCATAGCGTTCTATCATCCAAACATCAAGACCACTTCGAAGCTCTGCTCATCACGAAACGAAAGCCAGCATTGACGCCCGGAGCCTTCAGTCACCATGCCGCAAGATATGCCGCCTGTGGGCGGCTATGAGCCAGTCCAGTACAAGCGAAACCTGCCTGTTCGCGGCTTCCGACCGTCCGTTTACCTCCTCGCAACCGGCTTGCTCATGACATATGGCTTCTATAAAGCCGGCAAGGGCATTAGGGAACACAAGTACGTTTATATCTGGGTGATTGCTACATGGTCACAGCTGATTGCGATTTGTATCACAGCGAGCTCGCCCGGGAGAAGATGTGGTCCCGCATCCACCTTATCCCAGTACTTCAGGCAGAGGAGGATCGGGATCAGGTGCGGCGATATTTGGCGGATAAGGCGAGGGAAAAGGAGCTTTTGGGAAGTGAGACGAAGGTATATAATAGTGACCGGTAAGTCAATAACGCCAATTTAAGTGTTGGTGACAATTGACCTTTCTAATGTTTATGTCCGTCATAGATTTGTTCGGCCAACATACGCAGTTACCCCAGACAAAGAAACGAAATGAAGAGCTTGATTGTAGAGAACACCAGGCTATATGTATATATTAGAAATACCGGCAAGATTTTTAAGATGCTCCAGTGCTGAGGCTGCCTGTTCGGGTGTATACAAGATTCGAGCTAGCAATTCTATGCTAGATTTACCCACCTTGAGTTTAGTCATCATTTTTTATATCAAATTTACGGGGCGAAAAACGCTATATATTAACCCGCAACACGCATTTAAGGCCCTACGAGAATATTAAGATTTAACAAATTTTAGACTAGTGAAGTTTCTTCCCCATCTTGATGAATTTCCGCTGGGTTGAATTTCTAAGAAACCGCCGTCTCGCTGGGCGCTTGGGATACCTCTGGCTTCTGCAAAATCCACTCTACAAATATCACTACCTACATACCACATTCGTTGCTTTTCTTTTTTATATATATATCCTCTCACTGTCCAAACACCTCTTCTGAACCATCTCGATCCGTAGTTGGCATAACAAGTTTAGTACGAAACCTAATAACTTCAAGTAGCCTTGACAACCCCTAAAGTATATCATAAGTTTCTACAGTAAGTCAGTACCCCCCAATATGTGTGCTTTTGCTAAATATATCTAGATCATCGCAACTCATAATGTCGGGCGTAACTATGGATGGCTATGTTCTCGTTGCTCCAGAAAAGGAAATACCTTCTGAAGATGATATGTCTATTGAAGGGTACGTCGTAATCTCAGACGAAGAAACCGAAAAAGTACTCCGAGCACATTCTCCTCCGAGCGGATACAACTTTGGTGGGGAATGTCTCTCAGAGCCTACGTACAAATCTATTCCCGAAAAAAGCACCCCAACTCAAGAGGAGTACTGTGGAGTAAGTAATTCGATATCCTTGATAGAATATATAGCCTATAAATCGACTCGTTCTACTTATGCTAATATGTTAGACCGTATTTTCACGCAAATTCCGACACTACCGCTAGACCCAGCCTTATTACGCCTACCGTCAACGTAGACTTACCGATTACCAATGTCTCAAAGCGGACCGATAGATTACCCCCAATATCGAGAATCCTACCAAACTCCCCACAGCGCCAAACCGAGGTGGCGCAGGAACAAAACAGACACATAGGCGCCGATCTCAGGGGCTCAGTGTCTCCGCCCCCTCAGCATGCTATAGTACAAACGCATGGTCCTGGACACCCTTTGTCCCCACAACTACCAGAGCACGAACCCAGCGAGCGACCCAGCAGCTCGGCCCAATTCTGGAGGCCATCATCACCATCCAGGCCGACCGGCTTTACAACAAGGAATCTTTCTTCTTATCCGACTCGTATGCCACGGGCTCGATTTAAGGCACCACGCCAACCAACCCAGGAAACATACAATGCCCCCCGCAATCCACGTGGACACATCCAGCGCGGCTCAAATCCGAGGTACCGTGCTCAGTACCGCAACTCCCCTAAAGCGACTAACACGACTTTCGAGCGTGGGATGTCTTACAATCGACAGCACCCAATTCGTCAGCCTCGGGGGCCTAGGGTTTTAGAAGATCGACAAACCAGGGGCTAATTATGCATAAGGCAGACATGCCGCTATAAACACGGATTCCAGAGGCTAATATAGAGAGCTATAGAGTAAAGAAAGACGCTAGCTTTTAAAGCCAGGTATTTGTGGGAAATATGTACGTCGGGCAGTAGTGCTAAGATCGGAAATAAGATCTGGGGGCAGGGTGACGTTGGCGACGCTAGTGTTCTGCTCCAGATAATCCAAACTTGATTGTATCGTTTAAATACTAGCAATTAAACAAATTCACTATAATATATGTAGCAATTAACCAGCTACTTTTGAGGAAAGGGCTTTCTATTTCACTCAATCATAAAAACACGCGTGGTTGACTAGGTTCCATCCGTGCCGCCTGTGCCACTCTACTTAAGCGGAACTTGTCCAGCCTTCTTACATTTTACCTTCGCAGATAACTAGGCACCAAATCCCATTCTTGAGAACTGTCGTTAGGGAATGATGGTGTAAACTCCCTCGAAGAAATCATAATTCTTTCTTTTCATATAGACCCGTTTTAAAGGAGTGTCAACGGCTTTTATTTCCACAATATTTACCCAACTTTACCTCAAACACTATCGCATAGACCTATGAAAACAGCATTCTGCATTTCCGGCAATTTGAATAGTTCATAATGGCTACTCGCACCTTGCGAAGCCTTGCAGTGGCGTGAGTGAGCAAAAATCGTACTCTCCACTCATGTTGTGCTAACGTATTCCTACTTTCAGCTTCGGAAGAGGTCTTAAAGTTCATGTCGGCAAGACGCCAGACATCTTCTATGTCCACGAGGATCTTATTTGTAGCAGCTCGGAATTCTTTCGGAACGCAATAAACGGAGGGTGGAGGAAGTCAGATGATCGAGTTATTCAACTTGCGAACGACCCACCAGACGCCTTCGGTCTGTATATTCAATGGCTCTATACCAAACGTATCCCATCGGGTGACTTTGAAAACACTAAGAGCCTTATCGAACAAGAGTACGCCCAATTAGGCGTTGCATATGTCCTTGGGGAAAAGCTACAGGATTTGGCGTTCAAGAACGCAATTATCGATGCCCTGATCGAAGTGACCGACATCCTAATGGTTAGTGGAAAGCCATGCTTCCCTAGACCGGATACCGTGCGATACATCTATGAAGGCACACCTGGGCCCTGTGGCGTGAGGCGCCTGCTTGTTGATTTTTTTATGTACCATGGCGATCGTGAATGGGCAATAAGTCTAAGGCTTAATTACCCAAAGGCATTTCTTCAAGATCTAGCAATGTCGTTGTTCTTAAGGCAAACAGATTCTTGCGGAGCGTTAGAGTCGATAACACTTTCAGACAAATGTATCTATCACTAGGAGAGACGAATCTGGCCCTTGTTTCTTTACGAGCTGTTGTAGTCATCGTAGGTTTCACTGCCGAATAGCTTTCCGAGCGCACGGCGCTGTGTAGTAGGGTAATTCAGACCCTGGGACACTACTATAGTTAGGCCTAGTGACAGTTCGGTTGATAAATGACATTGAGTGGCTAAATACAGTTAGGGGGTTTGTTTATACGAAAGAAGAAGGATCTTTTATCGAAGCGAAACTCCAAGTCGAAGTACTTGTGATAAACTTCACCGAATGTTCTTTGAGCCTAGTAAGTTTACAGGCATTAATATAATACGATAATATCAAAAAAATTGCAAAGCCCAGCCGGAACGTGTGTGGAAGCCTCCACTCGTAACCACAGTTGCAGTTAGACTTCGAACTTTAGAGGCCCGTGCGATAAGGACTCAGCGGGTGCTGGGGTTGCGGATCACCTTGGAGATGGTGATCCAGTACAAAGATCAGGGTATATATAATGGAAAATATTGCTCAACCTCCATCAATTCGATCCACTGAGTGGATTCAGAAGGGTCGCTTAGCTCAGTTGGTTAGAGCGTGGTGCTAATATTAACAAATGTTAACGCCAAGGTCGCGAGTTCGACCCTCGTAGTGACCAGGCCTTCATTTTTTTGTTGTTTAGCCAAAGTTCCTCCTAACAGGTTATTGTTGCTCTTCCTAAAGAAGGGTAATTCGATTTTTTGAGGGTCAACTCAAACCGTAAGGCACGGCCTAGTGGTTTTTGGTTGTAGGTCTACGTTCTGCTGCGCTTGGTCTGCTATGAAGAACGCTTATCATCCTCCGGTCTTCAGCACGCTGAGTATGACATTACCCAATAGTTTTATTTTGATGCCTAGTTACTTTTGGAGAGCGCGGTGCTATACTATTCATATGTTTAGGACGATACCAATAACCTATGGGTGAGCTGGTCAAACGAAAATACTAGGTTGTTCGGTTGCAAGTTCGGTTTGAATCTGAAGGGCTCAGAATCTGGTACAAAATTGATTGTTGTGAAAAGGA